GGAATGAAAACTAAATTGTCAATTTTTTCTTTATTTAATATTTGAGCTTCGATTACCCATGAGGCACATCTAACAACCATCAATCGCGTGTCATTACAATGTCCATCTTTTAGTGCAATGTTCCGCAACCACATTATTGGGCATCCAACTTTCAACTCCAATTTAAAAGATGGCAACCCTGAAGGATTCAACGAGTTTAAGTACTCATTTNTATCTGGGTCCTTGAGCATGTGTGTATAACAGCACCAAACCCAGCTATTTCCTCCACTATGGCATACCTAAAATTCGAAAATAAACCCACCATAATCCACTACATATATAGATAGACTTATAACAAACATATGTGTGTGTGTGAGAGAGAGAGAGAGAGAGTAGGCTGTGTGGTGTGAGAGAGATATAAATTGTCACTCACCCAATACCTTTGGTACCACCGGTGACAAGAGCAGTCATTCCCTTAAGAGACCATCTCTGCTCCCTGCTAAGCTCCTCGGCCGTGCTAGTCTCCTACGTGTTTTTTAGCTCTTCACGTGCCATGTTCTTTTACAGAAACTATTTTTGCTAACCTAAATTCAAAAGTACAAATACACCACAGAAACTCAGAATGATAAGCAGCTCAGTCGGGGCTTGTTCTTGTATAATTTCCATTTGATAACACATAGGCAGATAGATTCGGTGGTGAGCCATTTGTGACTAGTATTTTATGTGAAATTAACGGTTGGGAATGGTCAGAACAATCTAATCTTTCTTCCTCTCTTTTTTTTTTTTTTTGAGAAATATTTCAATCACTCCGCTTCTCGTTTACCATATCTTTAAACACACTTTCTTTATTATCTAGAGCATCATTGACACCCTTTCTAATTTAACTTTAAACATTACTGACACACATTTTAGTTTATATTTAAATATTACTGACACCCCTTACCATTAAATCATGGTTTTTAACAAATTTTTTTTATCTAAAATTTTAAAATTGCCCTTACATAAATTCTAAACAATCTTTCTATATAAAATTTGAGTCAATTAAAATTCATATTATATCTAATTAAATTTTAATTTTTTTACGTATTAAAATTTGAACTCTACTTGAGTTGTTAGTGCCAATTAAAATTCACTCCGAGTTGATTAAAATTTATATATTTTTATTTATTAAAATTCGTGCCAATTAAAATTTAATTTAAGTTGATTAAAATTCATTTTTTATGCATTAAAATTTGAGTCTATTAAAATTTATATTTTTTTATGTATCAAAATTTAGGCCAATTAAAATTCAATGCAAGTTAATTAAAATTTGATTAGAGCCGATTAAAAATGAAAGGGAGCCGATTAAAATTTGCTAACTTTTTTGTGTGTGTGTGTTGTGTGCGTGTCTGAGAAGTAGAGACAGACAAAGAAAGGGAGTAAGAGAGGGGATTAACTGTACAACTAATTGATTAGTGGGGGGTTAGTCGTCGTTGGAGGTGGATGGGTCAGTAATGGATTGTAGATTGTTTGAATTTTGTCAGAGAGAATGTCATCATTAACAATTCACTAAACCTTCTCTTCATTAGTCCCCTAAATGTCCTCGTATCAATATGAACGCACTTTTCCCAATGGAGTTAATGCACAACTACCTAAATTATTCACATAAATAGTCAAATTAACACAATATATATTTCTAGAAATAGTAAAATATTTTGATGCAGTTACATAAGAGTAAAGTTACCAGATTATGTTGGCCCCATCCACAAAAGTTCATTGTATATATTCTATCGTTCTCGTTGGCAAATGTACTCCAATCCTACAAAGATTGAACCTCATTATAAAACTAAAAATTGAAACATTGGAAAGATCATATAATAAGTAGAAATAAACTTGTTTAAACTATACCATTTAATTGTAAGAATCTTATAACAGAACTTCAGGCTAAATAATATTTGTAGTGCAATTGGACCCATCTTCAGGGAGGAGGACACTAATACGATCCGAAGATGTGCATCTGGATAGTGCCACATAAAGGATTTTATGACTAAAAACAGATGTCCGTAAATCAACTCCAACGAACTTGACAAATTGTCCTTGGGCTTTATTGATTGTCATAACATAAGTTAATCGGACAGGAAATTGACGTTTTGTCATTTGAAAATGCAAGTCCAAAGATGTTGGTGTCAATGATATTCTCGGAATGAAAACTAAATTGTCAATTTTTTCTTTATTTAATATTTGAGCTTCGATTACCCATGAGGCACATCTAACAACCATCAATCGCGTGTCATTACAATGTCCATCTTTTAGTGCAATGTTCCGCAACCACATTATTGGGCATCCAACTTTCAACTCCAATTTAAAAGATGGCAACCCTGAAGGATTCAACGAGTTTAAGTACTCATTTATCATCTCCAATATATTAAAGTGTGCGATCGACTGCCTCCACACAATATCGATGTTGCATAGAAACTTCGTCCCATATTTTCAACTTTGTTTCTCTAAACAACTCGGCATGCATTGATTATTTAGTAAACCCACAAATTGAATTTTCAAGCGTTTCCAAAGGAATATAAAATGTAGAATGTGCAGTACGACCCCCTACCAATAACAATGAAACAATACAAGATGAAGCCATAGTAACAACAACATATTCATGGCTATGCAATTTTGTTGCAATTGTGTTATACAAAAACGTCTTCCCTGTTCTAGCACCTCCGCTCAAAAAAAAGGTAATTCCTTTATTTTCACATAATGACGATGTGATTGCAGTGTAAGTAGCAAGTTGTGCATCATTAAGGGCTTCAATATTAATTTGTGCAACAGTCTGTTGTGTTTCATTTTGGAGTTGTTGGTGCTCAAATAGTAATCGGTTGCCAACTATTGCATTCCAATTTCCAATTGGTTGTGGCATGAGTGAAAAATCAGATAAACTCTTCCTTGACTCGTGGAGCAATTCATTCACCAAATATAAACCATAATCTTCAATTTGATCATCAGTTGGATTCAAAACATCAAATATAATATGAATTCTGTGTGCTAAATCATCACATATATGCATTGAGAATTGATTCCATAGTGCAAGTGGATGCAATGGAGAGCATTCTGTGAGAATAATAGCAAATAGTCTAATTCCTTCTCATAATTGAAGCCTCTTGCAGACATTGTATCCATTCTTCATCATCTTCAAAAAGTCATCTTGCAACACATGTTAACTTGAATGTATAATGCATAACATTATTTACCGTACATAGCCAGTCAAATGAAATTGGTCCTTTGACAATAGTTAAAAGCAAACATAGATAAAATCGCTCGCCTAAATTAGGGCTAACAAATTACACTCTACCAATTGCATAACCCCTTTGTCTTGTAGTCTATTTCTTGATGGTCTTATTCCAAATAAATTTTTGTGAAAATTCTTGATAAATTAATGCACGTGCAGATTCATGTGAAGCGTAGCAACTAAAAAAGTCAGTTAAAATTGTATCTTGTTGTGCACCTTTAGAAAGGATTATACCAAAAGATTCAATAGGGTTAAAGACCACACGATGCATCCCAGGTAAATGAAGTGTCAATCGTACAACTAATGGAATCTCTTCATGCAAAGGATTACCAAATAATCGCTAAACAGCTTCCAGAGGTCTAATATATCTTGCATCAAGATATTGTTGGATCTCATTAATTCCTCCAAGCACCATAGTTGCACGATCATGTCCTTTATAAATATACTTGTGAATATATTTCACACATTTGATTCCCGCACAAACTTCAACATTGATATGACAGTTGAACATTCTTGATAGATACGGATTATGTGGTACAACATCTCTATTATTAATTTCTTATCCCCTCACGATATACTTCTGACCAGTATTACGACGACGATAAACAGGATATCCATTGCAGTCCATGTTTATTGATTCCACATATGCTCGAGGGTACCTCTTGGTGCACACTCAATTTTCCATGGTGCTTGTGGATTTTGAGCATCACATGGTCCGTGGATCATGAAACTTATGATTGTTTCAAAAAGTAATGAGTCAGTTTGATAATCCAGAAATTCAGCACTTACTACTTTGTCTACTTGAGCACATGTTTGGCTGTCAAACCAGAACCAACCAAATTTCATCGGTTTTCTTTTCAATGTAATTGTGTTTAAATACTTCATTTGTATAGCCTAAGTGTTCACGTTAAAAGAATATACAAAACTCTTCCAGTATTATTTTCTGAACAAATTCTCTCTGCTATTTTTTTCTTTATGGTATCAGAGCCATTGTGAACACTAGGCAACGTTACAGTCACAGCTCCAACATTCTTCCCATCTTATCTTCCGCTCCTTCTCTTAGCTATGACTACCTTATCATTCAATGTTGGCAATTTTATCACTCTCCGACTCACCCCAAACAATTATCCCTTGTGGCGTGAGCAAGCCTTGGCTCTTGTAGTAAGTCAAGAATTTGTTGGGGATCTTACAAATGAAGATCCTGTTCCTAACAAATTTACAGCTCCAAATCAAAACAGCTTGGAAAATGCAGAAAATTCCACTCCTCAGTTAATAGATGTTTTCATAGCATGGCGAAAGTCTGATCATCTACTTCAAGGGTGGATCATTGGAACACTCTCTGAGGAAACTCTTGGACTCGTCGTTGGTCTTGACACAACTCATGCAGTTTGGGAGGCCCTAAAAAATGCATATGCCCAAGAATCACAAGAACATGAGTTTACATTGCGACAACAAGTGACCTATCTTTGAAAAGAAGACCACACAACAATTACCGAACACATTAACAAATTCAAAGGTCCCTGTGACAATTTAGCAGCCATTGGGAAGCCTATTCCAGACCAAGAAAAAGATTTTTGCCTCCTCACTAGTCTTGGTCCTCAATATGAAACCTTTACAACAACTATGTTGAAGCCCCCCATGCCAATGTACTCTGAATTGGTCTCCCAACTCCACAATTTCAATCAGAGGTGTAGTTGGTTCTCTAGTCACACAGATGTCCCAGGCTTTTTATAGACAACAACTGTAACGCTCACAGTCAAACCCTTCAGGCTATCGTGGACCATCACAAAAATTCACCTCCAATGGACGTGGTTTTCAGGCACAACAACAAAGGGACTCGAACCAAGGCTACAACAACTTCTCTTCGGCAAATCCACAACGACGTCCTCCACCACTTGGTGAGCGCCGAATGACACATGCGGAAAGGGACAAATACCAGGAGCAATAATGCCAATATTGTGGGATGATGGGACATATTGCTAAGATATGCTAGTGAGTGCCAAAGAAACCCACTTAACAAGATGAAATTCCATAAGCACTCACGGCTCTTACTTTGGACAATACCATTGCAGACACAAAATGGATAACAGACACCGGGGCTTCCAACCATATGACAGGTAAGTCAGGTATGTTAACAAACATTCGTAAATACTCTGGTGCTGACTCTGTGCTAATTGGAGATGGGTCTTCCATGCCCATTCTTGTAATTGGTGATTCTTGTATAAACCAAAAAATGCTACCTTACCTCTCAATAATGTTCTGTTGGTTCTGAACTTAACGAAAAACTTACTTTCTGTAAGCCAGATAACGACACAATTTCCTGTTTATTGTGAATTTTCTAATGTTGATTTCTGTGTTAAGGAACGGGAAATAGGACAAGCAATGATAACAGGGACACGCAAGGGTGATCTCTATGTCCTACCCACTTCTCCAGAATTGTATTTCTCCCATAGGTTTAGATCAAGCACTGCAAAGGTTTGCCATCAATGCCTAGGCCATCCTCAATCTTCAGTTTTACATATGCTTAAAAATAAGGGACTCATTGATGTCATAGGGACAACAAAATCTCAAAATCTTTGTGATAGTTGTCAACTAGGAAAGCTTAATCGTTTACCTTTCTCTTGTTCAGAACATTCAATTACTAGTATTTTTGAAAAAATTCATTGTGATTTGTGGGGACCTGCCCCTGTTTTGTCTATTGAAAAATTCAAATATTATGCTTGTTTGGTTGATGATTTTTCCAAATATACATGGATTATTCCCTTACGCAATAAATTTGATTTTTTTGATGCATATCTAGCTTTTGAGAAATATGTTGCCAGACAGTTTAATAAGCAAATCAAAATCTTTCATTCAGACGGAGGTGGTGAGTTCATCAATTCCAAACTATCAACTCACTTTCTTTCTACAGGTATTGTTCATCAGGTATCCTCTCCGTATACCCTTGAGCAAATTGGTGTGGTTGAGAGACGCCATAGAACTATAAGAGAATTAGGGATGACTAAGTTATTTCACTGTGGCGCGCCTTTATTTTTATGGATAGAAGCTTTCCCCACGACTGTATATCTTATGAATCGCCTACCGTTGTCTGCTCTTAACTTTCAAACTCCTTACTTTGCACTTCATGGAACACATCCAATTTATTCCTCACTCCGAGCTTTCGATTCTAAGTGTTTTCTCTACACTTGGGACACACGAAAAATAAAATTTGATTCGAAAACATTACTGTGCATTTTTGTAGGTACAGTGAAAAACACAAGGCTTATAAATGCTTTCATCATTCAAGCAAAATTTTTTTTATTTCCCGTCATGTTGTATTTGATGAGTTAACTTTTCCATATAAGCCTATTAACACGTCTTGCATAACAGCAAATCAACCACATGTAATAAGCATTTTGACTCTTGGTTACCACATGCTAACACTTCTTCGTCTGCAGGTATACTTATGGACTCTTCCTCACCTCCATGTCTAAGTCCACTGCTGCCCATTGCTACACATACTCCAGAGACACATGTCCACAATTCAAGTCCCATTGAGTTATCACATGCATCCCGCCCCATTATCGAGTCACATACCAATGAAGGAAATAATGAGTTACCTGAGTCCCCAAACAACACTGGTTCACCTGAAACATTTCCACCACAAGAGCCTCACATGTCTGACAAGCAACATATCACAGCTCAATTGAGAGTGATTGAAACACTCGAATCATTTCACCAAATTCCTATTCCTTCAGCACCATGGATCACCCGATGGTCACTCGGTCCAAACTATGGGTGGTAAAACCGAATCCTAAGTATGCCTTAAACACCATCACATCCTCTACTATACCTCGTGAACCTCACAACGTCAAAATTGCCTTAGCACATCCTGGTTGGAAAACAACCATGGATGAAGAGCTAGTTGCACTGCATAAAAATGAGACTTGGACACTTGTTCCACGCACGCCAAACATGCATGTCATTGGTTCTAAATGGGTGTTTAAATCAAAACTTAAACCCGACGACTCTTTAGATCGTCTCAAAGCACGTTTAGTTGCAAAAGGGTATCATCAAATTGATGGAGTGGACTACATTGAAACTTTTTCTCCAGTTATCAAACCAGGGACAATATGCATGATAATCACCATAGCTCTTGTTCAGAAGTGGTCTATTCGTCAATTGGATGTGAAAAATGCGTTTTTGCATGGTTTAGTTTCTGAAGATCTTTACATTCAACAACCACTAGGAATGATAGATCCTCAGCATCCGACACATGTTTGCAAACTACAAAGAGCGCTTTATGCCTAAAACAAGCATCACGTGCTTGGTTTGATCGATTTAGTGCATTTCTTCTTAAATATGGTTTCTTTTGTAGTCTAGCTGACCCTTCATTGTTTGTTTTTCATTCGGATTTTGGCTCATTAATTTTACTTCTTTATGTAGATGACATGTTGTTCACTGGATCAACTCCAACACTTGTTTCAGATTTTATTTCAACTCCAACACTTGTTTCAGATTTTATTTAGTTAGAAAGCAGTGAGTTTGCAATGAAAGATTTGGGGCCTATTCATCACTTTCTTGGGATGGAAATCACGCCAACAACAAGTGGTCTTCATCTATCCCAGTCACACTATGCACTGACCATACTCGAACGCTCCAATATGGTTGATTGTAAGCCAATGAATACACCTCTTGAAGCTAAAATGAAAGCATCTTCCAATGATATTCTTTTGGAAGATTCGAGTTACTATCGAGGACTTGTTGGATCTCTACAGTACCTTACACTCACTTGCCCTGATCTTTCGTATAGCGTTAATTATGCATCTCAATTCATGCATGCTCCCACAATGACACATTTAAAAATGGTTCGACGTATTTTACGATATGTCAAAGGAACAATTGAAATGAGATTACATTTTTCTTCACACAATACACTTGATCTATTTGCTTTCTCAGATGGACATTGGGCAAGGTGCACTACAACGAGGTGCTCAATTATTGGCTATTGTACATTCCTTGGACAAAATCTTATCTCTTGGTGTGCAAAAAAACAACATACAATTTTCCAATCAAGCACATAAGCAGAATACCGCACAATGGCAAACACAGCAGCTGAACTCACATGGATGTCCTTCATTCTCAAAGATCTTCGCATTACAATGTCATCTCCTCCCATGCTTTATTGCGACAAGCTCAGTGCTCTTTATATGACAGTAAATCCTATATTCCATGCACGAAGCAAACATATCGAGTTGGATTATCATTTTGTGCGCGAACGCGTTGCACGTGGACTGCTTGTCACTCAACATATTTCCTCTGATAATCAAGTTGCTGACCTCTTCACAAAACCAATGTCAAAAGCAACTCTCCATTATTTTCGCAACAAACTTTGTCTCCAGCCTCGACAAAGTTTGCGGGAGGGTATTAGCAACATATCACAGCTCAGCAAAAAAAAGGTGAAGACTCTCACAATCTAGCCTCAATCAGTGAAGAGCCTTCAAAAAAGGAAAATCAGCTTGATGATCCAACAAACTCCAACTGATGAGGGATTCTCTGTTATCAAGGACCCTCTGTTATCAAGCAAGATGTTCAACATAACAAATGGAGATCATTTTGGCTGTCAAACCAGAATCAATCAAGGATCCTTTGTTATCGAGCAAGCTGGATCCTCTGTTATCAAGTAAGCTGTCCAACGTAACAAATGGAGATCATTTTGGCTGTCAAACCAGAACCAACCAGATTTCATGGGATTTCTTTTCAATGTAATTGTGTTTAAAGACTTCATTTGTATAGCCTAAGTGTTCACGTTAAAAGAATATACAAAACTCTTCCAGTATTATTTTATGAACAAATTCTCTCTGTTATTTTTTTCTTTATGGGGTAGTTCAATAGGCGAAGTCATCGATTGAAGGCGGGATTGTTTATTTGATTCTCGTCCTAGGCATGCTAGGCGACGACGACTCAATGGTAAAGAGGGGAAAAATCTAGGCTGAACGGGGGCGCATTATCTTGATCTCTCTCGTTCTTGATGTGCACGTTGTCCCAATTGACGTTTGGAGCACACATTTTCTTTCCCGACATAACGCATTTCTAGCTCAAGACTTGGACATTGTGTCAAATTTGCTTTTGATATAACATTATTGTTTTGTGCCTAAAACAAAAATAATTAGAAACTAATTATTAAACGTATCTCTTATTGCAGTGATACCTTTGACAATATTAACCTGTGTTTATAGATAATTAATGCAAGCTACTGTAAACCATTTGAACACTAATATGTTATAAATTTGTTGCTTAAACGTATATCTTCTCTTAATATGTTTAAATCCATAATTATTTACCAAATATCCTTTATAACTTCATAATTATAATAAGATAAACTACTTTGTACAATCAAAAAATAAAATAATTGATTTTAATTTATAATCATATGATATGCACTCACGATGATTTATTATTGAACCACATTGTGCAACAAAAAATCAAAAAAAATGAGAAAAAATTGGTAAAATACAACATCATTCCCAAAGCTGATACATACAGGTTGTTATCTTTAAAACAATTTTGCCAAAACTTTCTTTGAAAACTGATCCAATTGGCAATATTAAACTTGTGTGTACAACTCATAATGTTTGTAGGTGCCTACATTAAGGATGTTGACCCTCGTAGTTTCAATATTGTTGTCATTTGGATCCAACGTTATATACAATCTATCATCAGGATCAAACACACACAAAAGCTCCAAAAAATGGAGTAAACATCTTTATTTTTTCTCTATTTTTTTCTATTTTGAAGCTAACCAAATAAAAAAAAAATCATAAATATCTTTATACACATAAAACCATAGGAAAAAAATATGATGAAAAGTTATACCAGTTGACAAACTGTACTTTTTGTCCCTTTGTTAGAAGAGGTAGCTTTTTCTTTTCCCTTATATCTGACATTCGTCAATGAATTTGACATTTTTTCCTCCTTTAATTAAAAAAAATAATACATATAATGAAAGAAAATGCTAGAAAAAAAATTGGGTTTGTCATGTAAGTGGAGTAAACAAAACTATAACAGTCGAAAACACCCAAACTATAACATTCAAACTATAATATTAAAGCTATTCCAAAACTTATCAATCTTATTCAAAAAAAACACTAAAACTAACAGCCAATGTTAGAGTGCAAAATTGATATAAAATTGTTTATGGAGCAATCTAAAACTTGTTTTACAAACTTTTAGTTTTGAAAAATAAAAAATTGACTAAAAAAATTGAGTGTTATCTCTCTCCCTCATCATTTAGTGATGCATTCGTATACCAAAATAGATTAAAAACTTCAGATGAAAAAAATTCTATAGTGGACCAATGAGAATTCTCTCTCTCACACAAAAACATGAAATCGTAATTTAATGAGAATTTACATTAGACATGTGCTCTAAGTTTCAATTCTTCTTAGAGGTGACCAAAGAAAAGGTTATGCATAGATCTTTAACATAATAGATGGTTGATAAATTTTGTCTTAGTTAGTCATTGTGTCAGATTTATTCTCAATGGATCAAATGAAAATGATATATGTATGTATGAGGAATTTCAAGTCTTTAGAAAAGCAATATAGGATTTGTTTGATGCAAATATAGTTGTTAAAATACAACAACATTCCCAAAGCTGATACACACAGGTAGTTATCTTTAAACCAATTTTGACAAAGCTTCATTTTGGAAACTGATCCAATTGGCAATACTAAATTGTGTACAACTCATAATATTTGTAGGTGTCGTGTAAATGGAGTAAACATCATTAAGGACCCAAAATTGACATAAAAGCTTCATTATTTGCACTAATTTGAAGCTAACAAAATTTTTAAAAAAAATCATAAACATTTTTATGCACATAAAACCATAGAGAAAAAATAGGATGAAAACTCATACCAGTTGACAAACTATAACTTTTTCTTTCCCTTTAGATTTGACATTCGTCGATGGATTTGACATTTTTTCCTCCTTTAATAAAAAAAAAGTGCATATAATGTAAGAAAATGCTAATAAAAAAAATTGACACGAAAGTTTCATTATTTGACACTAATATGAAGCTAACAAAACTATAATAGTCGAAACCAATTTAGCATTCGAAAACACCCAATCTATAACAGTCAAACTATAACATTAAAGCTATAACAAAACTTATCAAACCTATTCAGAAAAACACTAAAATTAACAACCACTAAAATTGTTTTACAAACTTTTGGTTTTGAAAAATAAATAATTGACTAAAAAATTGAGTGTTATCCCTCTCTCCCTCATCATTTAGTGTTGCATTCATATACCAAAATAGATTAAAAACTTCACTTAAACAAATTCTATAGTGGACCAAAATCAAGTGAAAGGAATTATGAAAGAACCCACTGGTAGAGAGCCCCAAATGTGATTTAATGAGAATTCTCTCTTACACACACATGAAATCTTAAATTTATGAGAATTTATATTAGATATGTGCTCTAAGTTTCAATTCTTATTAGGGGTGACCAAAGAAAAGGTTATGCATAGATCTTTATGAGGCATCTTTTATAAGCTATTGCCACTTCAAAATTTATCAAACTTATTTGAAAAAATATAACATTAAAAAAACCCAAATTAACACCAAAACTATAACATTCGAACCAATTGAACATTCGAAAAACCCAAACTATAACATTCAAACAAATTGAAAATTCAAAACAATTTAACATTCAATTTGTTAAATTTATTTGAAAAAAAAAACACTCAAGCAAACACCCAAATGAACACAATTAACACTAAAACTATAACATTCAAACCAATTGAACATTCGAAAAACCCAAACTATAACATTCAAAACAATTTAACATTAAATTTGTTAAATTTATTTGAAAAAAAAAACACTCAAATTAAAACCAAAATCATCAAATCAATTTATGTGTGTGTGTGTGCGCGCGCGATGTGTTTGTTGGTGTGTTGTATGGTGTGTGCGCGATATGTGTGTGGTGTGTGTGCTGTTGTTGGAGTTTCATGTAATTTTTCAAAATTCTAGTAATGCCAAGTCAAGTTTTTATCTTTCCTTTCTATTTAATGATGAAACATTGAGTTCAAAATTATAGCAACATTCAAACTGAGACTTCCCATTGCGAGAATATCAATCTTTGAGAGAGAGAGAGAGAGACCAATATAGAAATTACCAATGATCGAGTTGGAGCACGCCAAAATTTAATTCAAATTTGTTGTCCACCTGTTGTTATCCCCCTACTCGACCCACCCTTGAAAATCTTACTTAGCCATTTCATGAACCGAGATTTCTTCTCTGCGTGCAAAGCAAAAAAAGGCCCTGCTTAAATCGAAAACTACCAATTAAGAACCCAATAATGCAATAATAATCAGTTTATTATTGAAACAATCAGTACATAATCAGATTGGTGTTGAACTTTACCATAAATGCAAGGCGGAGAGAAGTGGTGTGTGTGCGCGATATGTTGAAAAAACCCAAAATTTCAAACCAAAATGAAGGTTGTGTGTGTGTGTGTGTGTGTGTGTGCTGGTGTGTGTGGGTTTGACTGTGTGTGTCATGAGAGAAAGAGTGAGAGAGGGGTGTACCTGGCAAGAGAGGAGATCTTTGAGAGAGATGGACGCCTGGGTCAGCTAGGTTTTGATTTCTCAGTGAGATGGACGCTTGGCTCAGCTTCTCTTGTGGACTGGAATTACTCGGCATGGTAAAGGAGGAGTTCTGAGAGAGAGAGAAAGCGATAGAGAGATGCGCCAGCTGGGTTTTGCTTGGGATGGCTCAGCTGGGTGGCGTGTGTGAGTTGTTAAAGTGGGCGAGAGGATGAATTTGGCTGGACATATTATGGGCCCGGGCCATTGGATATATTTAGATGAGTTTAAATGAAATCTGAACTATTTATTTAAATTTTATTTAAATCTTAGCCGTTGTTCTGNGGGCCAGCTGGGTTTTGCTTGGGATGGCTCAGCTGGGTGGCGTGTGTGAGTTGTTAAAGTGAGCGGGAGGATGAATTTGGCTGGACAGATTATGGGCCCGGGCCATTGGATATATTTAGATGAGTTTAAATGAAATCTGAACTATTTATTTAAATTTTATTTAAATCTTAGCCGTTGTTCTGCTTTTCTATTTTGAGGGGTTGATTTTAATTGAAAAATTTTGAATTTTCCTCTATCTTATTAGTATAGATAATCATATACTAAATTATGATTTTAAGAAAAAAATTAGATTTTTATTTTCAATTTTATTTCAATAAATGATACAATAAAATATGAATTTTGGTTATAAAATTTAAAATATTTGATAATTTATCTTTGATTGGAGTATTTTTTGTTTAAGTATAACTTTTTAAACTTAAAGAGTCTAAATATTATATGTCTACAAACTTTAAGAGTTCTAGGTGTAATTTACTAATGAATATAATAACGGATATTGACGGTAAGCAGGGGCGGAGCCAGGAATTTTACTTAGGGTGGACACTTTAATTCGGAGAACTCAGAAAACCAGAGATAGAGCACCCCTTGGGGAGATCGTAGCAGAACCGACCTGGAAACAGCTAAATGACTGCAAAATGGAGCCCAATGCATGAAACTCTCAACCAACCAAGATTCTCTCCTAAAATCAATGAGAATCCCATAAATAATTGGTAAAGATCTCGGCTGAAATCCCACAGAATGGGGAGCAGCCTTATAAATACTATGTAACGCCTCATCGAAAGAGAGAACCCTAGAAAGAAACCTTAATTAGATCATGCATGATACTGTAATACATTCGAGTAATCAATAGAGAAGAAAAGGAGAAAGAGCCTCCATTAGAGAGTGGATTAGCCGAGCTCCAGAGCCGGTGAACCACTATANGACATCTTTTATAAGCTATTGCCACTTCAAAATTTATCAAACTTATTTGAAAAAATATAACATTAAAAACACCCAAATTAACACCAAAACTATAACATTCGAACCAATTGAACATTCGAAAAACCCNTTCCATTGTGCAAATTCTCCTACCCTCTAAGAAATACTTCATCTCTTTTATTATGAAGTTGATAGCCTATATTCACCTTTAATCCCACGCACTCTGTTCACCCACGTTAGTTTGCACCATCAAATATCTATGATAGAGGCAAAATATAATTGATATAAAAAAATATTAAGCCGAAATTAATACAAAAAAATTCAGTTCAAGAATAAAAAAAAAAAGTAAGAATCAACACTAAATTATTGTGAAATAATAAATTCAATTTTTATTTAGCCGAAACAAAATCTTAACAAAAAGACAAAATAATTTTTTTAGTACATTTTAACCTAATTATATATTTCAATAAAATATAAAATTTTTTTTATGTGAATTAAATGTAAATTAATTTTTGTATTTTATTAGGTTATAGACTACTATTACTTAAAAAAATGGTAAATGAAAATGAAAAATTATTCTTAAAAAGTAACGAACATTATGTTAGATAAAGAGAAATATTGTATTTTCTTCAATATACAAATAAAACATTAACTCAATCCAAAACTAACATATTTATTTTAGAGGGTTAGTGGTCCACTAATTTATTAAAAAAACAAAAAAAGACTAGAACCATTATTAAAATTTCCAAAAATTTAGAGGGTAAATATAATGTATAAAATAATTTTATAGGTTGGTGCAAGGAACCACCAAAAAACTCAAAGAACTGAGCTTCTCGTGTGTTAAATTTTTCTCTGTTTCTTCTCTTTTTCTTGTGGTTGGGCAGTGGACAGCTGGAAGTGAGTGATACAGAGAGAAAAAAAAAAAGATAAGATAAGTTTTAGTCAAGTGAGCCAAAAGTTTTGTTTTTTAATGATGGTAGGCCAAAAGTTTTGTTTTTAATGTTGAGCCAAAAATTTTATTTTTAATATTGGGATAAAAGTTTTGTTTTTTAATAGGTTTGGGTGGATTGTGATAGGTCAAATATTTGATTTTTTAATAAGTTTGAATAAATAATGGTGAGTTCAATTTTTTTTGTTTTAAATGGACTTAATTGTTTAATTATTTTGAGTAAATAATGTGGGTCTAATTTAAATGAGGGGCACACATAATATATATGTATAAATATATAATACATATATCTAACTAATAAAAAAAAATTAATTTGAGGGGGGACACGTGCCCACCCTGGCCCCTATCTCCCTCCGTCCATGACGGTAGGGGTCTAAGTGTTACATGCGTACAAACTTCAGAAAGTTTGTGTGTAATATTTTAACTATTAGGGGGTCTGAATGATTAAGTAACACATTTTAGGGAATCTAGGTGTAATTCTCCCTTATTTATTAATCTTTTTTCTTTTTAACCAACAAGAAAAGTATGATAAGATATGAATTTCAATAGATTTCACTGTGATTGCTTCCCAATTGAAAAATAAAAATGTACCATGAGATTATAAATATCATGCATCACATTGAACACCGTTAGTTACTATCATAGAAAAGTATAAATCTTAGTTTCTACATAGCATATTTTTTTATGTAAGCACATGCGTACTTCATTAGACTTACAAGAATGGGACAATTCCGAACCAAGAAAAAAACACAAATTTTTAATTGAAAAAAGGAGCACCACTTAGAAAAAGTTCTTAGAAATAGCCAAAAAGTCAAACAAAAAAATAAAATTAAAACAGCGTTATAGAATGGTACATAAAATTTTCTTGTTGGAAATAGATGTGCAGACTGGGGTGGGGTGTGAACGTAAAACTCAACAATTGGTAATTCAGAGGTCTCAAATTCAATCTCTTCACATATCTTTTAAGGGTTAGCCACCCTTGGACATGTTCTAACTTAGTTTAAGTCACGGTGGCTAACCATTAAGCTTGAAAAAGTAGTTGACACAAAACAAAATACCATGTAGCAAAAAAAAAAAAAAACGTAACTGATGATGCACAAAAGTGGATTTATGCATAATCAACAGTTGAGTAATTAATATGGGTAATAAATGTAGTAAATATAAAGTTGAGATCAACACAAGCAACACACAGATATAAAGTGGTTCGGTCAAGGTGACCTATTCCACTTTAAAGGCGGGAATGGTGGCTGAAGGACTTTATTGATAAAGTACTTGAGGGGAGAGCACAAGTAAGCTCTAGGTGTGGTGAGGTAGCTATGAGAGACATAGTTGTGTCTGGGATGTAGAGATGTGTCCCTCATTTATAGAGGACTTACAATTTATAGGCACAAAGCCTTAGTTGACGCGGTGGCGTGGAGGAATAGGTGACTAGTCCTTCGAGTATGATAGCTACAGTTAAGGATAAGTATAATTAAAGATAGTTTTGATCTTCGAATGGTAGTTATCTCGGTGTTTACTCCCCACGTACGCTGATCTTCCTGAACTCCTTGAACTTTAGATTGGACAGAATCCATAAGTTGGGCTTGACCTGATTTGGGCTTACTCCATGGATTAGGTCTGACCTACTTGGATTTGGCCTCATCATTTGCCCCATATGCCCCAAGCCCCAATTATGAGGAAGGGAGTTGAGGGCATGAGTTAGCCTCTGGATAAATAAGAGTTCCTTGTTTCCTACGGGAGCCCCCTCGTTTCTCCTATTCCACTGCTGGACACTCACTGTGTTGTCACCAGATTGGAGAGGATTCCATGTCAAAAAACCCCCTTTTCCCCATTTAGGGCATTTCTCACAAGGTTTTACGAGGTCACATAAATAGACCCCGGAACCACCCATGTTCCTTAGTTTCCCATTGTATTTCAAGTTGGACTACACATTCTTTTTCACTCCTTAAATCATAGAGGGTTTCCCAAAGGAGATGGAGATGGAGATGGGGATTGGAGAGAGTGGATCACCGCCGAAACCAGGCTCCACTAATGTTTTAACAAGGTCTAGCGGAGACTCATACCCATCCATGGTGACACCCATGATCGGAGGTAAGGACTAGCTTCATATGGACAGCTCCGGAGGGGATGCCATGCTTCAACTCAATAGGCCGCTGGACAGAAGAGAGATGGGTGACGTTTTTTTCATAGGCGATGCCGGGTGCGTGCCAGTGGGCGGTGCTAGAAAGGGAGGTGAAGGCGACTCCAGCCAGGCACAAGGGAAGGGTGAGCGTAGGTCAGACGACGGAACACAAGGCATGGGCGATCTGGGCGTTGGTGCTGGATAGCTGGATGTAGTCATCGATGGAAAAGGGACCACTCACAAACAGCTAAGTGGTGCCAAAGGTGGAGGGGCCAACTACCCAGGCGACACCACAGACAAAGAATTCCTAGGTGTTGGCTCTGGTGGAAGGAGATTGAATGGCGATGGCATGGTGGGAAGCAAAGGTACAGACAGCTCTTTTGGCTTGCTAGGCGATGTTAACAGAGGATAGGAGACAGTCAGTGCTGACTTTGGCTGTGTGGGCGACGCCAAGCAAGGCACAAGAACTAACCACATAGGTGATGCCATGCCAAGCCTGGGCGACGCCTGCTTGGGCGCTGTGAGGGAGAATGGCTCTACGGCCAGGGAAGCCCAGCAGGACGGGAGCACCAGACCTTACAATCTTCTAGGCGGCGCCATCCTTAGTGGTGAGCAACGTTTTGGCATGCTAAGGTAATTTTTTTTGAATCTGGGTATTTTTTTCAAGATCTACGACAATCAAACTGCCTAATTTTCCCAAAAAATGCTTCTTTCTCTATGAATTTGAGTTTTAAACACACATTAGTGGAAAATTAAAATTTTCTTGTATCTCCTTTTTGTATTCTTGACTACGTGAGGACTTAGCTCACCTTGCTTTGACGAAATCCTCAACGTGAGGTAAACCAAGGAGACCAGAGGGAGACCGATGGCGGTGGGAAGTTAGGCTTTGGCAGGCAGTAGTCAGGTGTCCATGGGCGACAAGTTGGCATTTTGGTATTTGCCAGAAAGGGAGACTATGATGGATTTCAGCTAGGCAGAAGGCAAACCCGCTTTCTTTAATCATGTTTTCTCCTTAATGTTTCTCGATGCTGGTTCTTTATATTGACCTTGTCTCTAATTACAAGCACCCCTATTGATAGAACGATGGTGAAGGCTCTCTATGCTTTTAGGGTAGCGTCCTCTCCTCCCTCTTAGAGGGTGAAGACCAATGTCCCCAGTGTGTCTCGGCATTTAGAGAGCCATGCTATATCCCAAGAGGCTAGATTAGAGGGTGCCCTACTTTTTCTCAGTACACGGCTCTTTCAAGTGTTAGGGTGAGTCCGACCATTACTTCAGGAGTTAAGACTCCTGTGTTCCCTTTCGTCAGGACTGGAGCTCCACGTTGTTGTCCAGCTTCTAGCAGTGGTTTAGTGTCCATACTGCAGGAAGTGAATCTGGATAAGGAGCATCTTTGGGAGTTTGTGACTGCCCTGGATATTAGAGAGGTTGACTCTCGAGGTCCAAAAGGCATTATCAATACTGCGATGGAGGGGTTTTCCATGGTTTGCCTTTTTACTCAACTTTGATTTTGTACCCCACCTCTTTTCCTTCATGTTCTACTTTTTGAATGCTTGTAGGTGGCTGCTGTTTTTTTCTACCTTTTTTCAAGGATGATCAAGCTTGGAGAGACATCTAGGGATCTGGCAAAAGAGAGGCAGGCTTAGAGAGACTGCTAAGGAGTAGTTGAGGCTAGCTTATGAGAGAATCGCAACTCTTGAGGCCGAGCTTTTTGGCGTCCCGTAAAAGGGTTGTGAAGTTACAGGTTGATAAGGAGACTGTCTGCGCGAGAGTAGAGTCAGAGCTGTGAAGGTCCTGTGAGAGGGCCGCAGGAGTTGAGGTCGAGCTACGTATTACTCAGGAGAGGGTTGTCGTGGCAGAGGCTGATAAGGCGACTATGTGGGCGAGAACAAAGTCAGAGCTACGAGCATCCTGTAAAAGGGCTATATGAGCTAAGGCCGAGCAACATATAGCTTGGGAGAGGGCTGTTATGGTAGAGGCTCATTCCATTGAAATGGAGGTGAGGAGGGATGTAGTTGAGAGGGCTGTTGCAGACACCTTTATTGATGGTTATGAAGAGTTTAGGGAAAGGCCTCAGTAGCTTTCCTTGTTATTAATTTCTCTGACTTCATCTCATATGAGNCTGTAAAAGGGTTGTGAAGTTACAGGTTGATAAGGAGACTGTCTGCGCAAGAGTAGAGTCAGAGCTGTGAAGGTCCTGTGAGAGGGCCGCAGGAGTTGAGGTCGAGCTACGTATTGCTCAGGAGAGGGTTGTCGTGGCAGAGGCTGATAAGGCGACTATGTGGGCGAGAACAAAGTCAGAGCTACGAGCATCCTGTAAAAGGGCTATATGAGCTAAGGCCGAGCAACATATAGCTTGGGAGAGGGCTGTTATGGTAGAGGCTCATTCCATTGAAATGGAGGTGAGGAGGGATGTAGTTGAGAGGGCTGTTGCAGACACCTTTATTGATGGTTATGAAGAGTTTAGGGAAAGGCCTCAGTAGCTTTCCTTGTTATTAATTTCTCTGACTTCATCTCATATGAGGTTCCAATGACAGATGGTGACGAGGGAGCCTTGATGATAGTGGCTCGGAGAGCAGTGATTGATGTCGAGAATATGCTGACTTTTGCCTTTTGTTTCCCTTTTTTTTGTTAGGTCAAGTTCTAGTTGTTTACAAGATTTATGGAATTAAAGAAAGACAATTTTGGACACAATAATCTTTGCAAAGTTATATTTCATAGTTAAAATAATAGATAACAAAATAAATCAAGTGAAATGACAAATGACAAATAAAATAAGANACTAAAGAAAGACAATTTTGGACACAATAATCTTTGCAAAGTTATATTTCATAGTTAAATAATAGATAACAAAATAAATCAAGTGAAATGACAAATGACAAATAAAATAAGAGCCACCAGCTTATACCCTAATAGTATATCTTCAGGTGTTCGACATCCCATGGATGGGCCAAGGCTTTCTCGTTTCCAATGTGCTATCATCCCTAGGGTCGAAACACTTCCAATTACAGGGCCTCTTGGGGTTTCTTGGTCTGGTAAGGCGTACTAACACTCCGTTTGTGGCAGATGTTGTCAACTACTCTTTACCCTCAAAGTTCAAGATGCCTGCCATTGAGATCTTTGATAGCACCAAGGACCGCCTTGATCATCTCAACATATACAAATCTCTCATGCAACTCCATAATGTGCCTCATGAGATCATGTACAGAACCTTCCCTTCCACCCTTAAGGGATCTGCATGACAGTGGTTTGCGAAGCTCAAGCCTTCTTCCATCCACTCCTTTGCGGAGTTAAGCAAGTTTTTCGTCTCCCACTTCATTAGGGGGCGTTGATACCAGAAGCCAGTTACCCATATGTTCACCATTAAGCAGGATCGAGATAAAAATCTAAGGAGTTACCTCACTTGTTTTAGTGAGGAGGCTCTGTAGATCGAGGAGTCGACAAGGTGACCATGACCGCCTTTATTACGGGTCTACACCCCTCCAGTTTCATGTTCTCTGTCTTAAAGAAGCCACCATCCAGCATGTCTGCGCTGTTGTCAAGGGCACAAAAGTACATGAATGCCGAGGATGTCACCAAAGCTAGACGAGGTTAATCCTCCCACAGGAGCGAGAAGAGAAAAGATACCCGCGAAAGCAGGAGAGAAGCAGAGAACAAGAAGAATAGGACAGAGAGAGTCTTTGACAAGGACCGCCTTGGTCCCCTACCTTTGAGAGAGCAACAAGCCTTTATGCCTCTCAATGTTTCAGTGGAGTATATCATGTTCCAAATACAAGACGATCCTATAATACATTGGCCAGGGAAGATGATGACACCCCAAACGGTAAGAATCCAAACAAATACTGCCGCTTCCACCGCAACCATGGTCATGATGCTGATGACTACTTTGATCTTAAAAGACAGATCGAGGAGCTCATACAACGTGGCCTATTACGGTAATACGTGATGACAGAGAACGTCAGCAGCTCCTCGAAAAAATCCAAATGATCTCCAGAGGGTTAGGAGGGAGGAGGTGACTCCAACTCTGCCAAGAAGGCGCATGCCAGAAGGGCCAGACAGGCAGAGCCAAGTGGTCCTCAACTGATGAAGACGCCCCGACATTAGAAAGAAGAAGTCATCCAGTTCTCAAACAAGGACCTCGAGGGGATCCAATTCCCCCATGATGACCCCCTGGTCTTAATCATGATGGTAGCCAACTACCAAGGTCAGAGAATTTTGGTGGATAGTGGTAGCTTTGCCGGCATCCTATTCACACCAACGTATGATAGCCTTCATCTAGGTGGGAAAAGACTACAACCCATTAGAACGCCCTTCATCAAATTTTCGGGTGAGAGTGCTTATCTTTTGGGTTCCATCACCCTGTCAGTCACAATAGGGATAGCACCAAGAAGCTTCACCATCATGGTAAATTTCATAGTGCTAAACTGCTCTGGCGCCTATGCTTTGATGGCGTTAACAATATCGCCAAGTTGGTTTTGCACATCTTTAATCTTTTTGCCCTATTGGTTGGGGATACCCTCAGTTGGATCATTATAGTAACTCTCATGATTCACATATTGGTTCTCCCCTTCATCTTCTGCTTGGGATGGTCGGCAGGAGGATATGCACTATAAAAGGTGGCAAATTCCGAAACAAGTGAAGATCAGAACCCACTTTAGCCGCTTTAGTGTTCAGCATATTGAAGATTGTGTTTCTGGCCCCTGAGTTCAAAGGATAGCGGAAAATATTTTCGTGTAGCCAACTAAATTTTGGTGGACAGTGGGATGGTTTTCTTTGAATTACAGATTGATGGGATTCCTTTTATTGGGTATGCGTAAAGGTTGCGTATGTAAACCACCGGACATGAGGGGCTGCAGATTCATCATGTTTTTACAGCCAATTCAGCAAGGTTCAATTGACCGGGTCGAAGTGAAAGTTGTGGTAGAATGACTATTTTCTTTAAGTTAGTACTAATGTTGTGGACAGTTTTTTTGAAACTTAAATCAGGTGTTCCTTGGACCTAGTTGAACAAATGGGATCATTTGAGCAAGAATTTGTGTCATAGAAACATTATTTTGGTAATTTTTGTGTTGCAGAACTTGTTTCGTTAAATGATTCTAAAAACAATTTTACAGAATAAAAAACAGTAAAACTTGTTTGAACAATAACCTAAAAAATAATGAAAATAGAAATATGGTAGTAATAGACGTGTGATGGTAGTGGTGGTAGACGTGGTGTTTTCTAAATTTTTGAAATGTGGTTTTAAANAGTTTTACAGAATAAAAAATAGTAAAACTTGTTTGAACAATAACCTAAAAAATAATGAAAATAGAAATATGGTAGTAATAGACGTTGATGGTAGTGGTGGTAGACGTGGTGTTTTCTAAATTTTTGAAATGTGGTTTTAAAAAACACATAAAATAGTTTTAACTTATTCTCTAAATTTATTCACTTTTTGTTTTCTGTTTTCAAAGAATAAAAATAAAAAATAGTTGGCCAAACATCTTTTCTACCGGAAACTATTTCCGAAACCGTGTAAGATTGTATTTCTCTGTTCCTTCTTTAATTAATGGCTTGAGTTTCGGGCACTTGACTGTCTTTTTGTTGGTTGCGCTTTTGCTTTACAAAGAATCAGTTTTATTATTTTTCTTCTTCATTAGT